TATATCTTTTTGAATATACTGGAAACAGTAACTGCACTGTACATGAGAGTGAGTGTGAAGAGAATGTTGCATATTTTTGAAGAAAGAGAACCGAAAAAAATAGATATGATGGCATGTGTATGGATTATTTAGACGAAGGGGTCTTAGTTAAAACTCTTCAGAGATTTGTACCTATGATACTTTCTTCACGAGTTATAAATTTTTTTTGTTTCACTGGAAAAACAGATATAAAAACACTAAAATTGTTGTATTTCGATAAAAACAGCGAATTTGAGCTAACATTTTTTTTCTATGATTGTTCTAATATTCAATTAACATCATAGAAAGAATCAGTGTTTCATCCTTCCTAGAAAATAATCAATTGAATTTTCCTTATTTTTAAAGAAAACTATGTTTTCCCAATAATTCATTTTTATTATGGTTAATCCTATGTCGGCGTAGCCACATAACTCTGCTACCTTAGTGAAATTCTGTGACGAAATTTTGACGTTTTATTCTTTTTCTAGTTCTTTAATGAAATAACTATGAGAGCTGTGTAACATATACAACGGTTAAGCAAACGTTTCTGGATCAAATGAAATGTGTCCGAGTTCTATGTGATCTTTTGCTGTAGAAAATACAAAGAAAGTACGAAACGCTACTTTTTATAAAAAAACTGGGAGAAGAATAAAACGTCGAGATTTCGTCACGGAATTTCATTACGGTAGCAGAGTTACGTGGCCACCTCAATTTGGTTCTCGTTTTCTACTGGACAAGCTATCTTCTCTCTTCGCGCTTTCTGTAATTTATTTAATTTATTTGTTTCGGTGATATAATTGATTCTCTATGTGAATAACAGTTATTCCATCATTGTAATGGTTTAGTAAGATGGTTGACCGATCTTTCTTGTACCCGTTTTCCCAGCAAAACAAACAAATTCATAACGCTTGAAAGAAGTAACGTGGACATCATTGAAAACGGACACACGGGAACATTCCTTCGTGAGTAAGATTGCATTCTTCTGAAGTGGTATTGAAAATTAGCTGAATTATCGTGCTCCATTTTTCGTTTTATGCGTGTGATTTGACAAGAGAATTCAATTAAATGATGTAAAATATTCAAAGAATCTATCTTCCCGACGAACGCTGAATGCTCAGGATTAACTAAGCCATTTAACCTACAGGAAATAAAACTTCAAAAAGTACGCTGTGATCTATTATTCTACATAATCAAGAACTGAAATCATTTTCAATCAAAAATTTTTTGTTTGCTGATAAAATGCACTTACATGTTCAAAAATATCCCTAGTGGAAATTCTTGTACCCAAGATCTTGGGTTAAGAAATGTCACAAGATCTTGGAAAAAACACCAAAAAGTCAAGATCTTGGCCAAGATTTTGGATTAAGAAATTTTAAGATTTTGAGTGAATCTACTCAAGAAGTTTCAAGAGTGTGTGAGTGAAGAGTTTTCTTTACATTTTACTTTTATTTATGACAGTCGTAGCCATTGACTATAGATTGAGTACAGAATCATAGATTCTTCCTTAAACAACTATGTTCAAGAAGGAAAACATTTTCAAAGTTATTCTAAATATGAAAATAGTTACATTTATATGTACACAAGAGTGTAAAACAAAACGATGATTCAAAAATTTCCAAGATTCCTTGGTACAAGAAGTCAAGAAATTACAAGATGTTCAAGATCTTGACTTCTTATATTTTCTTACCAAGATCTTACTGAAAAAATTCAAGAAATCAAGATCTTGGTTAGAAGAAGTTTCACTCGGGATACGTATGCCTCATAAATCAAACTGAGCAGTATATTATCTAAATGAGCAGATCCTGTTCGGAGAAGAAAAGAGCTTGTAAAATATCTCTCCATTATATTTCAGTTACAATATATACATTAGTTTACCAAAAACATGTTCAGCTACTAATTTTTGTTTTTCAGCTTCAAAACGAAGAATTTTTTGTTTTTTTACACTTTACAAACAAAATATAAATACATAAATTTTACCTTTTACTAAACCTCACATTATGGTTAAGATGATTAGCCTTGACGTGCACATTTTTTTGTATTTTAGTCTATAATTTTCCTGTTACTTTATTACGTTTGATAAGCTTGTGAAAAGTCTGTAATCCTCTTTTCCTCTTTTCTACTAATTTGGTTTCTATAAACTTCCGCTAAAGAGTAAGAGAAAAAGAAAAAAACAAAAATAAACAACGTCTGTTTTTTGTTAGTAATACTTGTAATTTTTTTTTCTTTTTTTTTTTTTTTTTTAATTGACACAATATTTTTCTTAAATATGTTTTTTCTATTCTTATTCAGATTAAAAAACGAAAAATTAGCAAAAATAATAAACGTTCAAATGGCGAATAATAGTACCAGTTCTATGATCTATTGTACAGAAAAACCTGATTTTGTCTATGAATTTAAACGTATTATGGAAGGTTGGGTATTAACATGTATATGTCTATTTGGTATAATTGGTAATACATTAACATGTGTAATATTACTTCATTCACAAATGCGTAAATCATCAACAAATCTTTATCTATTTGCATTATCTTTTGTTAATATAATTGTATTAATTGGTTATATTTTATCACATGGTTTAAGAGGAATTTTCTATAATTATTGTTCAACTAGTATAACATCATATGAATTATTTTATTCACAAATATTTCTTATTACTTATCCAATTCATATAACAACTATGTTAATATCAATTTATTTAGCTGTATCTGTTACTATTGATCGATTTTTAATTATATGTATACCATTTCGTATGCAAAAATTTCATTCTCAAAAATCTGCTTTATTAGCCATAATTTGTGTATGTTTATTTTGTATAATTTATTGTTTACCATTTTGGTTTGAATTTACATATGAAAAAGATGTTTCTTATTCAACATTTGCATTATCATCATTTGGTCAACATCTTTTATTTCGATTATTAATGAGAAAATATCTTTATCTTATATTTGTATTTTTAATACCATTATCAATATTAATTTTTTGTAAAACATGTATTATAAAACGTTTAATTATGATTCGTAAAAAACGACAACAATTACATAAACAAGATCATTCAACAAATTCAATTACTTTATTATTACTTACACTTGCTGGTGTATTTTTATTAACACAATTTCCCTATTTTTTATTTAATATTATTTATGCATTAAAAGGACCAGAATATATGGAAACAAGAAATGCTAGACTCTGTTTAAGTGTAAACAATATTTTATCTGTTATTAATGCATCATCTGTATTTATATTATATTCATTTTTTGGACAAAATTTTCGAGAAGTATTACGAATTATATTTTGTTGTAATAATCATCAACATAAAAATAATGTTGTTCAATTTCAATTAATACGTCAGATTAATATATAATTTATTTTATTTTCATTAAAAAAAATTATGTTAATAATGGAACATACGTTTTTATATTTATATCAAATTTAAACTACTAGTTAAAACGCATGGAAAGCAAACTTGTAGTGAAATTTATTTTCGAAAATATCATACACCGGTGGATAGAGAACATCAAGGCGATCAACACAATACAAGAAATTTGCAAAAGTTTTGGACGCGTTTAACCCTTTGGCGACGGGAAGCCCATATATAGGCAAATGTCACAACACTACTGTAACTCAAGGATCATAACAGCTAGTGACTTGTAATTTTGTGTGGTCATAGTTCTTACCAAATACTGATCATCCACCAAGTGTGGGTCTCTTTTACTCGATGAAAACTTTTTCTTTTTACTAAAATGTGGCCACGACTCTACTCTATCTACGATATGATTTTTGTGAGTTGGCAGTTAGTAGTCTGTGAAATACAACTATTTTACGGGTGAGATTCGCGGTTTTTTCGAAAAAAATTCACAACTCAGTCTAGGAGCATCATTTTGACTTCAAATTCGCATCAAAGGCTCTACAGCGTCTGTAGATTATCTAGCCAAAGTATGAAGATTAACTATTGTGTGATTCTGAAAAGTCATTGAGAACGAGTACCCACGATTGAAACATACGTAGAAGAGCGAGGGTGGCGAACTAAGGGTTGCTTTTTATACTATAGAATCTGCATGCAATGTACATCATAATCATGAAAAAATAATCATAGAAATCTATGATTCCGAAAAGCGTATGAGAAACTTTTGTCAGAAAGATTACACACTCACCTCTGACCTTCGCCATNTGACCTTCGCCATTTCACTTATTTTGCGCCCTTTTCACTTCTCTTATATTTTCAAGCAAAAGTAATAACATATTTGAGATCAGCAGATAAAACTGGGTCTATCAGCATACTTAACATTCGGTTTTTGAGCAAACAAAATTTTATTGATAGTTTTCTCTGTAGTGGGAAGATCGGACGTATATATACGTCTCCCGTCGCTAAAGGGTTAAACGCGTCAATTGAAAAATTTATCATTAACACGCGTTTTTCCCTTATACAACGTCGAACTTTTTTAACGCGTTGAAAACATTTTGTAGTTCCAATGTATTTAAACGCGTTTATTTTTCGAAAAAAACATTTAAAACTGCTTACGACGCGTTGAAAAAATGTGAAAAACGGTATCAACGTGTCAAAAACCACGATTTTAAACGCGAAACTCGTAAAAATAAACGCGTTTAAATGCGTCGAAATTATAAACGTTTTCAATGCGTTAAAAAAGTTCGACGTTGTATACGGGAAAAACGTGTGGTAATGATAAATTTTTCAATTGACGCGTTTAAATGCGCCAAAAACTTTTGCAAATTTCCTGCTGTGAAGAATATACGTGACTTGATTATATTTTTTGACACTTTTTTCCCGTCGAAAAATTGAAAAAACTCGAAAGACATCAAAAACGGACATTTTTTCGTCTTTTTTGAAATTATGTTGCGCGATGGAATATTTTAACTTGTTTTTTATGATTCAGCAATGAAAACTGCATTAGAAAATGGTCTTAGAACATTTTTAGAATAAAATATGTATTCACAAAAAATTACACAATGTTCATAGCTCAAAAAGGGCATGCAGTTTTTCAAGTCTATCATAGGCTTTCTATAGGTGCTAGAGTCAATGTTTTTACATGATTAGACCCGTGAGATGCTCAGCTTCAAAGTTACAAAAAGCTTTTCCAAAAATTCCTTTTCCTCGCTGAGAAAAATCAACTTTTCTAAATCAGAGGCGAAAAAGTCGAAATTTTTCCCGTAATTCCCAATTTTCTCGATCAGAACTCAACTTTTGAGTAATAAAAATATCTATCATATACAAGAATTCCGATTTTTTCGCCTCTGATTTAGAATTTTCCGAGCGAGGAAAAGGAACTTTTGGAAAAGCTTTTCCTAACTTTGAAGCTGAGCATCTAGCGGATCTAGCCATGTAAAAATGTTCTAAATTCAGTTTTCAATGCTGAATCATGAAAAACAAGTTAGAATAGTCCATCTCGGAACATAATTTCAAAAATGATGAAAACATGTCCGTTTTTGACATCTTTAGAGTTTTTTTAATTTTTCGACCGAAAAAAAAGTATCAAAAAATAATCAAGGCATATATATACTTGACCGTCTTGAAGTCCTCTATCCACGGGTGTATGATATGTTTGAAAATAAATTCCAGTACAAGTTTGCTTTCCGTGCATGTTAAGTATTTTAATTTATATTAAAAGACAGCAGTGTGACCAAATGAAAAAGTCACCATTTGTTTTTAGAATTTTCGTCTTAATCGAGCGATTTTTCTTCTTTTTTTTTGTGTAACATTAGCTAAGATTTTGTGAATTTTTTGTGAGTCATTTTTTATTTAGTCATGTTAAACTTTTTCTTTCAATTTAAATAGAAAGTACTATTCATTTAAACATTTCTCTTCAGAACATATGCACAGTGTTTTGGGATACATCGCAATCTATCGAATATCTTGAAATCTGATAAGATCGAAGTCTCACTTTTCGTGCCTGGAACTCTACCATATTTCGAGTACTTGAAATAATCATTCTGTGTGACCCAGTAATAGGAGTTCTCATCACAATAATCTGCTTTGAACTTTTTTATTAATTTGTACGTAATCATCGTAATTGAGAAAATGCGTATATATTGTTGTAGTCAGTCATTGTCAAAAATTCATTTAAAATGATGAAGAAAAAGCTAAATATTTTTTCGCACTAGTAGTTTGAAAGTTAGCGCGTTGTAATGTGACTCATGCAACAGCATGCGTGGGTAGTATTAACTGAAGACTTTTAGAGTTTTCTATGAGTTCTTTCTCGCAGAACTAGTACCTATATACAACCAAGCACAGAAACTAAGAAATTTTTATGCTTCATACAAGACTATTTTCAAAAAAAACCTGGTCCCGGTCGCATTAAAAGTCCTGCGGGATAGTCCCGCTCGACTGTGACCGTGCCGCAGATCTCTGGGTTCTGATCCCGCTCCCGTAAATAAGATTTTTCTGTGTCCGGGTCCCGTAAAAAGTCCTGCAGGACAGGGAATTGGAGCGTCCCGCAGAGCTCTACAACACTTATAATGTATGTAAAAGTTTTAATGTATTATTACGTCTTCAGAAAAATTTTGGAGCTCTAATGCTTCTTAGGCGTTAAAAAATAAGGAAATTGAATGCCTTCCCATTTCTCAATTGATTTAAATTCATTCATCAAGTAGAATGCATTAGTAGAATTAAAATTCTTAACCTATCTGCTCAAATTAGTCTATCCGAAGGTATTCTAACTTTTTTATGCGTTCGAACTAAGTTTTGGTGCCTTTACATGCATTCCATTATCTAATGAATGTGAAGGAGTGCAATATAATGACGAACGACTTTGGATGCATTTCTCCATTTCTAACGCGTTTGAAGTCATTTAAATTTTGCTTTTACTTTTTTTATAGATTAAAAGAACCTGTGGAGGTCCAAAATTTCTTGCTGGGAATGCTTAGCAGGAGAAAACGTGCAAATTAGAAAAAGTCATATCACTTTAGTTTATCTAGCTGCATTAAAAAAGCCATTTTTATAAATCAAACAACTAATAATCAAATAAATCATAGCAATGATGATAACAGTAACGGCCAATAGAAGAATCACGTTATGCCAGTTAAAAAACAACATACGTTGATGTTGTTCTACCATATTTTTAACGTCTGCATGTAACGAGTCATGTTCGTTATTAGTTATTTTCGTTTCTAACTTCTTGTCGAATATTTCATCCGTAAAAAATTGAGCACAATAGAACAAATTACTACAGCACTAGATATGATATATATATTGAAAAAAAGTAAAAATAAATATTAATATATATAAAATCATGTTCAATAAATCATATTTTAAATACTCTTGTTTATGCAAAGCAGGGAAGTCTCCATAACATTTGTCATTGTTATCACATCTGCAGATGTGAGAGTGAGCCATCTGCTAAACGTTTTTCAGAGAGATGACATTTGTTTATGGTAAGAAGTTGAACATAGGTGATAGCGTAAGTCAGCAAAAAAATCTGGATAATCCATCCAGACTAGGTATGCACCAGTTTTTAACTGGTTTTGGGACATCCGGAAGCATTACTATACATCAGTTATCACAATTCGCTCAGAGCCGTGAAACATTTCATTTTGTAGAAAAATGTTTGCTCTACAAAATGCATTTGTTAAAAAATTTCCAAAATAGATCATTCGAAAATAAATTAAACCACGAAAAAAAACCTGTTCGAACAGGTTTTTTTTCTTGCTTTTGTGCATTTTAGAATCTTCTAAATTTTCTTAGAAATGATTTCGGAAATTTTCTAACAAATGCATTTTGTAGAGCAAACATTTTTCTACAAAATGAAACGTTTCACAGCTCTGAACGAATTGTGATAACTGATGTATAGCAATTCTTCCGGATGCCCCAACACCGGTTAAAAACTGGTGCATACCTAGTCGGGTCAGGAAAAATTGCGACATAAAATTTTGTAGTCGATTTCGGTCACATCATTGCAAACAGTACTTACGAAAACCTATAAAAATAGTGCTTATAGGCTTCTGTACCACTTTTATGACACATGTCCACGTGCCTAGGCAAAATTGTCCACTGTGGTCGGCTAGCCGGCTACTCACAGAGGCAAATATTTTTCGAAAAACATGAAAGCCGATTTCCGAGTGGATCAGATAGGTCATTCGATGCCGAATTTGACGCTGATTCTGAATATGTAATTCTTTTCCAAAAGTATAGGGGACGGAAAGTGTTCTTATCCGCCTCCCGCTTAATAATTTGGAGTTTTTTCTAACTGGGTTTTCTTCATGAGAACTTCATCATTTTACGTGAAGAACTTGGGTTTTCTTGACGGGAACTTGTACTTTTTTCCTGAACAAGTTCGGGTTTCTTCACGAGAACTTCATCTTTTTCCTGGAAGAAATTGGTGTTTCTCCACGAGAATTTTATCTTGTTACATGTTGAACCTGGGGTTTCTTCACGAGACCTTCAACTTTTTCACTGCAGAACTTGGGTCTTTTTTCCTCAAGAACTTCGGGTTTTCTTCACGAGAACTTCAGCATAATTGCTCAAGAACTTGCGGTTTCTTCACTAGACGTTCGACTTTTTTGCTACAGGGTTCTTCACGAAGACTGTTTTTTCCTCAAGAACTTCATGTTTCTTAACGAGAACTTCATGTTTTTTGCTCAAGAAGTTGGGTTTTCTTCACGAGCACTTGTACTTTTTCCTGAACAGGTTCGGGTTTCTGCAGGATAACTTCAGCTTTTTACATGAAGAACTGGGGTTTCCTCACGAGAACTTCCTTTTTTCTGGAAGAAGTTGGTATTTCTCCACGAGAATTTCATGTTTTTACATGTAGAACTTGGGGTTTCTCCACGAGAACTTCATTTGTTTTCCTGAAGAAGTTGGGGTTTCAGAAAAGTCTTTAATTCTTTCAATTGAACTGCACATAGTCTAGAAGTACACGCTAATCTGGTGATGTTCAGCTTCGGAAATATCGTCTCTTAAACATTTATAATTCATTAAAAGATCTTCCAAGAGTTCTTGGCTTTCAGTCAAAAACCCTTCTTGAGCTTTTCCAGAACAAAAACTGTTTTTAATAGCTAAAGGTGAAGTCTGTCAAATGAACTTGTTTAAAGCATTAAATGAAAAATAGCAAATATTTTTAATATCAATATTTCCGAGAGGCCTGTGCTTAAAGCTTGATTTCTAAGAAGTGTACTGTCAAATCAGAATCAACCAAATCCAATAATACCATCAGACGGGGCAAGGTCGACAACCTTTAAGACCTCAAGGATACATCAGTTTGTCCATTACTTATGTGGTTAGAAAATGGAAGAAATGGCTCATCTATATAAATCGACGCAGTTTTACACGGTAAATTCGAATAGATGCTTGAAATAAAACAAAACTATATACTTCGGATTTAAAATCGGAAAATACTGTAAGTGCTTGGCATGAAGTGTCCGACGTACCTAGAGTTTTTTGTAAATAAAAATGGTTAACAAACACAGGTACTTGATAATGATATCTATCAAATGGTAGTACCCGGTAGGTATGCACCTGTTATATAACTCTTGGTTGAAAAAACTTTTATCCTTCTGATGTTTTTGTTTCATGAAAATAGATCAAACGAATAATTCTCTAGAAAATGAGATGTTTCGCAAGTCGAACCAATTTATTATATCGCAGTTATTAAGATTTTCTAATTTAATTTTACAGCCGCTTATCAGTTACTGGAGGCTCGAACCCAACTCATTCGTGGAGAATCAAAAGAAGATATCACGATCGATTTCGACCTTTTTGCACGGTTCTGATCAGGTAGAAATAACTGCCAACGAACGCAAAAAGAGCTCTAAAATTAGAAAAGGTATCCAATAAACAGTGAAAAGATAAGAAAAACTGTTCTTAATTCATCCCATACTACTCTAGACATTTTCATAGACGCTAATAATTATCAAAACAATGTATATTTTTCATCAATTGATATTGTGATCCAAAGAGTTCTCATGTACAAGAGAGAAAAAGGTCAAAATATTTCACAAAACATGAAAACCCTTTTCTTTTTACACAGATATCAAAAAAAGCCATACAATAACTTTTTCCCTTCTTGCGTTCTGATATCGAAAATTTTCGAAATTTAGTCTCATACATTATTTAACATAACGAAATTGTGTGAGACAAATAAAATATCGACCTTACAACAATGTTCTATATTGATTTTGTGAAAAGCGATGGATATGATTCGATTCTAACTTGAGGCTATTAAAATTTATGTTAAAAAAAAAATATTCTCGTTATTGAATGTATCTGACAAAAATTTGTTACAAAAAGTTCAATAAAAGAGAGAATAAAACATACTGTCGTCCGTTTCACTTTTTTCTATGTGCACATACCATATGTGTGAAATTATTGCTGTTTTCTCTTTGACAGGTATTGTTGTTCTGTTCATTTGTGAAACAACTTGACCTGACAGGGTCAGTTGAACGATACAGTTCAACTTTTTTTTTTTTCTTTTTTTTTTTCTCTTCTACTTCTCGTTCTTTCTCGTCTGTTCAATTCTACTCATCGTTCTAAATGAAAAAAAGAAAAGAAAAATAATTTCTGGAATATATCGAACAAGATGATATAAAAGGAAAAATTTAAATCCATTGACTATTTCTTTAATAAGAAAGTTGAATGAACTTTATTAGTATAAAAATGTCTCTATTGCCATTTTATATATTCTCACTATGTTTTATTAAATCAATTGAATTAAATAATATTCATAATACTAATAATAATAATCTTTTTGAAAGTGATTTTTGTCGATATGGTTATATTATTTCACATTGTTGTCAAACTACAGGTGATACTCAAATACTTAAAACATTTAAACAACTTGAAATTTATACAAAATCATGTGTAATTAATTCAATTATTGGTCATTCTTTACGATTTCCAAATAATGGTACATTAATAGAAAATAATTGTACTATGGCTCTTAATCTTTATTTACCTGGTCATATTGATATTAATGGTTATATTTCTAGTACAATTAATAATGGTACAATTATTGATCCACAAATTATTGATTTTATTTTAATGAGATCATTTA